TTTAATTATTTATCTATTTTATATTTTATTTTTTAAATATACATTATTAAAAATTAATTTTTATTTATTTATTAATTTTAAATAATCTAACATGAATGATTTATATATTTGAAATTTAATGTGAATTTAAGATATAATTTGTGGTTGTAAAATTTAACTAAATATATAACATAAATTAACAATAGTTTATAATAATTTATATTAAATTTAACATAAATTAGTAATAATTTATATTAAATTTATAAGTTTATATATAAACTAAATTTATTTTTAGTCATAAATTTATATAACTTATTTTTTATTTAAATAATTATAATATTTATTACATCATTTGATTCAACCCCCAATTCAATGTTGGTAGATCCATTAAACCTCGAAACTCTCATATTTCCGGTTCGACGTCTAGTCCAATTTTCACAACCTTGACAGCTCGTTTGATAATTTTCGACAAAACTGATATTAAATTTAACATAGGAGTAATAAATAGAACCCTTAAATTAACATTATATTTAGGGGAAAAAAACAAAGAAAGGCACATATTAACAGTTAATCTTGCAACTGATGCCATATTAGTTGGTGATCAAAGAAAACAAAATTTCAAGGCCTTCGTATTTTTATCAATAAATAAATAAATAATCATTTGCTAGAAAAATAGAGAATGAAATATTCAAATATATTTTCCATAAATTTCATTCTATTTTTCTTTTTTTAATATATATCATCCAATTTATAGAGACAAAAATATTGTAAAAAATGATTCTAATGTAATTTTTTCCATGCACAAGCAAGCCATTACAAATCTATATTTATATATAATATCCAATAAAGATAAAGGTCTCATATGACCGACCGCTCAAGTAGGATAAAGGCCTGATGTTGTTATTATTTTATCAAACAAGTACAACTTAAGAGATGTTTAGGACAGTTGTAGCTCTTTTTAAACAATAGTTGAATAACTGTTATGAGAAAAATAATTTTTTTTTTAAATTATTGTAAATATTATACGTATTTCTTTGTACGAAAAAGTCAACAACAACTTCCTTGTAGTCGTCACGCTACTTATCTGATTATAAATAGAAGCTTTTGCTTCAAAAATTTCTAAAAAAAAAAGCAGCAAAAAAGTAACAGCCAAACAAAACGGTTTCAATAGTTTGGAACGTAAAGCGATAACAAAGCTGCCCTAAAGAGACCCCTCCTCTTCACCCGCGTCACTTTCTTCCTTCGAAACACTCTCAATATGGTTCCATTTTGAAAACCTCCCAAAGTAACAGTTCCACAATCCTTCAGCCAAGCAATCCACTTCATAAGAACCAATACTATCAACAAATTCACCAATATTTCTTCCCACAGCAACCTTCCCTCCAAATACCACAGCATCATCTTCTTCCAACCCACTATTCAATTTCTCACCACCTTTCAGGAAAAGAAAACCTGCTCTAATATGATCTTTATACAAGCTGAAGTTAGCTTCTTCACAAACTTGAACTACTACTCCACTTCCCTTCTCCCCTTCAATGCACAGTATCTCTCTGTATGGTTTTTCTTTTGAAAGAATGAACAGATAGAGTGCCATTAAAGATATTGCTGTGGAGGACAGAAGAGGAGAAAAATAGATGAGAAGTTTTAAGAGAAAATGGTACAGTGAAGGGAAGAGGGCAGCAGAGAGTAATATGAATGATATGATGAAATGATTGAGTGAAGAAGATTTGAAGATGGAATGGAAGGTTTCCATAGGATGGCTGATTGAGCCTCATGAGATTGGCAAACAACAAGAGGTTTATAAGAAGCAAAGAGAATATATTCGGAGGGCTTCATGGTGGGAGAATATATGCTCTTTTGTAGCTGGTGGAGAGAAGAACATTACTTTTAAAAGGTCATTGGAAAGAATAAGATGAGCGTTAGGGAAGAGGATAAGGAAGAAGATATTCTCAATATTGTGTTATGTAAGCTAAATGTTTTTTTTTTATTAAATTTTGTCGTGTGATTGAGTCACCGATCATCTCTAGAATAGGTTTATATGTCCTCCTAGACACTTAACAAATGGTGACTCCACCCCATTAGTATTTTAATATCCAATGCATATCATCCTTACTAAATTCTAATATGATAGCATTATGTGTATGATTTAGTAGAAAATTTTAAAAGGAAATTTCTAACATCCAATATGGGCTAGAATCATATTTTCTTTTATTTATACAGCTTACGGTGATGCTTTTATGCAATTTATGCTCTCATTAAGATCCGACCAACTCTAAAAGGAAGGAAATCATGGCCACTAAAAAGAAGCTTATTCCACTTAGGCTTCGTTTGGGACAATTTTGTTACTGCCTTGAGCCGTCTCAAACGAAGCCTTAGAAAAAGAGGATGAAGTCTTGGATTTTATGCGGCTTTTATGCCAAGTTCCTAATTATGGAGTGTTAGCTTTGATGTTCTCACATCTAGTAAAGATGAATAGAAGAGTTGGTAAAAAAAGGAGAATTGAGAAGGATATCGAGATTGGCTTCACTAACTCTTCCCAAAAACAATGGAGGGAGATCTTGAAATGTGAGGGTGTATTTAAAGGTGCCTAATATGATTCTAAAATTGGGTTGATGGGCCTGAGCTAATAGTAACTTTCATATATACTAGTTATGAACAATATGAGGGCGAATACTCTCTAATGAGAGAGTCAATGAATCATGGGGCTCATCTCTAAGCACACTTCTAAGTCATTCAATGTACCTTAAAAACATGTGAATGACATAAAATGATGGAAGCATGAATGAAAAATGATACATGATCAAATCATAGCATGGATGAGTGAATTATGAATTATTCATAGTTTCTATGTATGTTTTTCTTACATATAAATGAGATGTAAATGAAATCTATACCATAACCCGATGACCCCATGCAATTCATGTATGACTCACTCTTTATTTGATGACTATAAATCTGCTAAGCAACAATTTTAAGATTTCATTTGGGATGGCTTTCTTATTGTTTTATGAAGCTTATTTTTAATACATAAATTTTTTGAATTAAAAATTTTTGCACTAAAAATCTGATTCATAAAGCAATAAGAAAGCTGTCACAAATGAAGCCTAAATCAGAACATCTCATATATGTATATATTCAATATTGAATTCTTAGGCATATAAAACAGTAAAAAACAGGCCTTACTCAAAATCCTATGATCCTTTATGGGGGCCGAATCCATCCAAAGCCAAAGATCATGAAATTCTGTGGCCTGATATAAAATAGGCGAGCATTAGTACAATTCACTGATTTATACCTTTGCATAAACCCCTTCAAAATACACAAGGAAAACTTTGATAAAACAGTGGGCTATCCAATTGAACTAAAGAAATAAACAACAAAAAGAAAATACTGTAAAAACTATAATGCGAACCAAATACAATTATCTTTGATGCTATCTGCGCATGGCACGATTTCTTTCCCGTTTGCGGAAACGTTCAAGCATCAACTCATCAGTAGCAGCCTGTCTTCTCCCTACAATGTCTACATCATTGGTTTCTGTTGGTTGTGTTCCAGCATCACTCTTTTTTCTACTGCTGTGATCCTTGTAAAATTCTGGATGTTCTGCAAAAGGAATATAGTATGCATTAGGATGCCTTCAGAATGAGAATGAGAAAATTTTGGCTAGTAAGATCATTAAGAGTCTTATCAACATGACAAGGTAAACTAAGCTTCCTTTGTTGCTACTAGCTTTGTCCTTGTAATGAATGTTCTCTTCATGGTTGAAAAATAATAGGTCAAATTTGTAGATTATAAACCATGATAATAACTTAGAGTATACAAGGACATTGTTATCCATATTGTACATGAAACACTAGTGCACTTTGAAGATTTTGAAGTTCTAATTCTTAAATCATGAGATATATTACTCTTGAAGCATAAAGATTTTGGGGATTGTGTACTGTAAATGTTCTGTGAAAAAACAGAATTTTAATGTTTTCCTAAGCTTAGTATTGTCACATCTTTCATTTAGATCTGAACTGACTTCCCAGAATCTTTACTCAAAGTTATGTCAGGAAACCTGGTACGATGACCACACTTCCTATCTTCAAAACTGAAATATATAAGCCAACTGGAATCAAACTACTACTTCTATACAACTTTCTGGAATAACTGGAAATTCTGCTCCCACAGGTCCCGCAACCTTCTGCTTTTCATATACAGTCCACCAATAACTATTCCTAGTATGGAAATAAGCTCTAAATTCATTATAGTTCATTACCTTAATTATATTCCTAATTTTCCTTCTTTATTGGCTATGTTTTACCTATATATTATATCTATTCTACCATAGAAATAAGAAACATGGTATTCTACTCTCATTTTCAATAGGGTATCAAAGCATCACTTCTCTATCAATCTATTTTTCTATTTTCCATCTTTCATGCTTTTCTATATTCCGTTTTTGGTGGATCAAAATTTACCTGTGGGGAGTATTAGAACATTACTAACAAGGCCAATAAGAAACACAGAACAAAATAATAGACAGATAATTAGAATATAGAGACAGCAGCTATAAGATTTTATTACATTGCTAACAGTACAATATTTTGGTACAAATGGCTTGATGAGAGAACCTTTTCCTGATCTCCTATTTATAAGTTCAGGCTAGATTTTGATGCTACTGGAATGACTATACGGAATAAAATTCAACTAACTCTTACTTTAAGCAAACAAAAATTATGTATCTAAAAATGTAATAAATATATACTTATCTTGTTGAAGAAATGGCTTCTTGCTCTTAGGGAGACTAGTACTAGATGGTGAGATCATATGATAGCAGTTGACTTCATATAGTCGGCTCCTTTGTTCATTCTCTATTTAAGAATCTGGCCTCAAAATCCTCTTCAAGATCATGGATGGGGCAAGAGATTTTCAAGTAAAGAAGATTGCCATTTTTTTTTTTTTTTTTTTTGTTGAAGTGGAATAAGAAGAGGGCAGCAAGGAAAAGTTGTAATGAATCTTCGTCATGTTCTCCATGAAAGAGAGGAAAAGAGGCTATTAAGGGAAAGAAAAATGAGGCAGCAATCGAGTTGCCTTCTGTAAGTGATCTTCTCAAAAATTCTCTCTTAGGAAAGGATATTAGACGGGGATCTTCTTTGCCTGATTCTCTTTGGATAGAAATAACAAAGAAGCTTTTTAGTCCTACTGCCATCATCCCTGGTCAGTAGCAAGCTTCTAGATCTGATCAAGTAGATGACTCTTCAACTTGTCCTGAAGTCAGTCACGATTTTGCAGATGCTGAAGAGGTTGGTGACTTGAGAGATGAGACAAAGATTAGGGAGTCTAGCGAGGTGATTTGTTCATACTCAGATATTATAAGTCTATGTGAATTTGTTGGAAGAAGACAAGAATTTGATGAGAATTGTACTTGCTCTCCAAGCCTACTTCAAACTTGAGAAGCCAAATATGAACAAGAAAGTTACTAATCTTCAACTATTTGTAGAATCAGAGAAGCATTTTCTCCATGACTTCACAGAAAATTTTGCAAGTCTATCCAATCAGTTCCAAGCTATTTTTAGCGAAGTTACTTTACCTATTAGGTTGAGATTAGATTGTTTTCAAGGATGAAATCATTCTTTTAAAAAGGAATGCAACTTCTTCCATATCAGGTCCATTTCTCGTTGGTTTTCAGTTCTTGGTTATCACTTTATTCATCAAGACTTACTCCTGAGGGATGTCATTTCTAATCTTATCGTGAAAACTTTGCTAGGAGTGGAAACTTCAGCTCAGGCTGCCGAATTCGAAGAAATGTCGACCAAAAGTAATCGTCCTGTGCACTAATAATGTTCCTTGTTAAACAAGAACATAATATATTAGCGAGTTGAAGCGACTAATGAAGGTGGTGAGATCATATTAGATTTTTCTCTAATTTATAATTTTCTAATTGCTAACACCTTATTTAAGAAAAGAGAGAAGTATCTCATCACTTATAAGAATAGATGTAGTAAAACTCATATTGATTATTTTCTTATAAGAAAAATAAATTGTTTAGATTGCAAACATTGTAAGGTTATTCCGAGTGAAAGTTTATGTATGAAGCATTACTTATTAATTTTGGATTTTAAGATTAAGGGATAAATATGAAAAATAAAGTAAAATATTATCCTAAAATTAGATTTGGGGGCATTTAAATAACACTAACAAAAATAATTTTAAGAGTAAATTTAAGATCTTAAGATTTTGACTGTATATGAAAAGGTTGATATTATGTGGAAAAAAATAGCTAGTTATATTAAGAATGTTGCAAAGGACATGTTTGGAGTATAAAAAAATCCCAATAGCAAAAATAGTTGGTGGTTGAATAAAAATATGCAAAAAAAAAGATAGAAACATAAAAAGCTTTATTATAAAAATTGGTTTAGATATAAAAACTTAAAATATTAGAAAATATATAAAGAAGCCTGTAAGAAATCTAAGAAAGAAATATGTGATTTAAAAAAAATTACTTTTTAATATTTTATATAATAAATTATATTAAGGAGGGCGAAATATATATGTATAAGTTAATAAAGCAAAGAGATAGGAGAAGTAAGAATTTAGTTCAAGTGAAATACATTAAGAATAAAAATTAAAATTGCTTAGAGGATATTCAATAAAGATGGATAAAATATTTTGATAAGCTTTTCAATGAAGATTGTGAGAATAAGGTTGACTTAGTGATCTTAGCATTCTAAATGAAAATTGAGATTTTTATTTTTATCATCATATTAGCAAAACCAAAATTATAGGACTCTAAAAAAAATGAAGTGGGGAAAAGCTAGTGAACCTGATGATATTCCAATAGAGGTGTGGAAATGTGATAGGAATTGCTTGCAGAAATTTAGGAAAAGCCTTGGTTGAAATCTAATTTCAACCATTTCAGAAAATCAATGACAAGAGAACTAGGAATAGAGAATACACATGAATAATTTTTATTGAAAGTTTTATGAAAGAAAAGACAAGATGCAAGTAAATCTTCAATTGGAGCGGAAGATTTGGCTCTCCCAAATCTCTAGCTGTCGACTAAAGCCCAGACATCCTAAGAACAATCTAAATTCAGTAAACGAACCCCCCCCCCAGATAGATTCATATTCGATTTGAGGTTAACTTCATAAAAGACAGCATATCAATTTTTTAAGTATGTTTTTAACTCTTATTTAATCTTAGGTTCAAATTGATTTATATTCTCTAGTATAAACTTTGGTGCAAATTTACATATAATAACTGCAAATTTACGATCATTTAATAATAATAATAATCTTTTTACCTTATCAAATCCATCATTTTAAAAATATCCACGAACTATTTCTTCAATAAGATCAGATTTGACCATGCTAGATATTTGTGTTGGCATTGCTTACATGAGATTTTAAAGAATTTTTAGAAATATAAGGAACATATGGAGTAATCCTAGAAAGAAAAAAACTGTAATATTTTTTAATCTCTTAAACTATATATAAAGCCTCGACTAATGTCTTTCGAGAATTCAAACTTAATTCATGCTTAATTTCTTGCATAAGTTCCTCAATGAAATAAACATAGTTTGGCAAATGACGTTTGGTGACAAAACCTTAATCCTAAGGAAATATCAAAACACACTGTAATCACATTATTTAAAATTCTTACATTGCTCATCGCAAAAATTATTTTTTAAGTTTATGTTTCATATATGACTATATAGATTTTTTTTCAACAACAATACTTCATTAAAAATATTGTGCAAGACATTAATATTACTTAGGGAAAATTAATTATTTTGGAATAATATTTTTCAAGAAATTTTCTAAGTTATCTATCCTGTTGAAATCCAGTCATTCCCAGTGCAAAGGATCCGACGGCCACAGAAAACAATCCATGGGAAGCTCTCATGGATCATGCCATAATGAAGGAACTAATTTAGGAAAGAGTATATTAGGGATTTTATGTATTAAATCTGTAATTTGTTGTTTTCTCATTAAGATATATTTGTATAGATCTATAAATAGGGAAGATATTATGGAATAAAGCCAAGCTTTTTCCTCTCAAACTTACTATTTTAACATGGTATCAGAGCCAATCAGGCGGCCTTCATTGTTGAATGATCCAACCTTCTGACTATAGGATGTTGACCCGATTCCGCTAGACGCAGCCGCAGATTAAGCCCTCAATCATGCCAGTTGCTGCCGCAGACGGAAGCACCAATTCCGCCAGTTGATGCTGCAGACAGAAGCCTCGATTCCACCAGACACTATCGTCGAAGGAGCCTAGTCGAACAACAAAGAAGGAGACGAAGGAACCGAAGAAGTTTTGTACCCACCGATCGATCCGACGAAAAGGGAAAGTCGACGAAGGAGCGAAGCCGCGAGCTCGAGCTGCTCCCACTCGAGTCCCTTCGTGCGCGCCCTAGTCACCTAAAACAAACCGAGTCTTTTAAAAGACTCAGCTTGGCCCGATTATTTAATCTAGAAGATTTCTTCTCAAAGAAAAAAAATCCTCTTTCGACGACCTTTATTGTCGAACAAGAAAAATTTTATTTTGGGAAGTCTTCATTGCTACCCAAAGACATACAGATAGTCTTAATCACTATCATAATATCAGAAATCAATTCCTCCCAGAACATTGACAAAACTAAGGAGTTG